TGTTAAGAATAACAATTTACATAATTTTTACATCTTTTAGTCATAACCCCTTCCTTTTCTTAAATTTTTACTTCATTTATGTTTTCATTTATGTGGCTATCTTGATTGACGTAGGAAACACCGCTGGATTTTCTCTAAAATATATCATGTGAATTAAGAGATTATGTAAAATACTAATTACATAAAATAGTACAGAATTTATTACAAAAATAAAGGTTTGAATTTTTGAAGATATACACACCGTTTTTTATTTCCTTAACTACCACAAAGTTTATTGCACTTGGAATTCATTACCCTTATAACTGAAAAGTTCAGTAGCCAAAAAGTAAAAGTCACAGATATACTGCTGCTATTATCTGAGCTCTATTCCTTGGTTGCAGTGTACTATGTCCTCTCTGTGAATAATAAAAAAGAACAGTTTGGAATTTTTTTTTGTCTTTGGGAACAATAGCCAGCCCCAGGCTCTGAGAGTCCACCCTGCATTTTATTTCTGCACAATTTTTCCTTCAAAGGAAAAAAAATCCTAGCACTGGTACTAACTATCCCATTTCTGAAAGAATTCTTTCCAGAAAGAAAAGAAGCTATTTTGAGGATACCATTGCCCATCTATTTCAGAAACAAAGTGGTATCTTCAGAACAAATTAAGTAACTGTTTATAAAGTCTAAATTCACCCTTTGTCTTCCATAGCCTCATTATTCAAGTATAATTCCAGAGAGTTCACCATGCTTTTATTTTCCCTAGCTGGCTGTCTATCTTAACCAATGACAATATACACCTCTTAAAAGGGAGTTTTGAATAAACTCTTTATTCAACTGAATTGCTGGATCCAGTCTATACATCTACTCAAAAATAATACCTTTTTACTTGGTAGGCAAGAATTCCATTGATTGTAAGCGTAATTCCATTTTAAGAATATTTCTCATCCTAAATGCAAAAAAAAAAAAAAAAAAAAAACTTTTTTTTTCCAAAAAGAAAAAAAAAAAAAAAAGCTTTTTTTTTCCTAACAGAAGGAAGAACAATTTGATCAAATCAAATCTACAGCCTGTGCACCTTCCATCTGGATTGCTGCAAATTGTCCTATCTAAGGATGAAATGGTGCTCCCTGAAAAAGCCCAATTGCTGCCAAGACTAAATGCCCACCTACTTTGTAGTAGAGGCCACAATCACAGTGAACAACTCATTGGCCCTAGTGGAATATTGCTGAATAAATAATTTAGTGCAAGGCCTCTGGCCTGATATTCACAGCTCTTGAGGGGACTAAAGGTTTGAAAGACCGCCTCTCCCCATGACAGCTGTTTTTCGCTTGGGTAATGAACGTGCCTAATCCCCTGGGAAAAACTGGACAACATTCAAAGTACCTAGACTATACCATGCAATTTAAAAAAAAAAAAAAAAACCAAAACCCCAAACCACAAAATGAAAGAGATTAAATCAATATTTTAACACTTTCAAAAATTAATGCATCACTTCAAGCCAATTATACAGCACAATAATTAAGTTATTTCTTCCACAAATGGGTACCACCACCATTATACAGAGACATGAAGTAAGCACATTTCAGAATTAGTGTTCAGATTCCACAAACCCCTGATTTTTAAAGTGGGAAATCTGCCAGAACTAGCAGGCTTATTCAAAAATAAAGACATTTTCTTCTGGATGAGTAACGCAACTAGAATCAGTAATGAATCTTGTATTGCAAACTGATTTGATATGTACTTCATAGCTAAATATTACTAGAGTATAAACACATTTCACTTAAGAAAGTTAAGTTCTCAAAAGCTCCAAGTGACACAAACCTCATTTTGCTGTTTTCTATTATTCATATTTTGCTTTCTAGATCTTCAGATGAAAAAAACCTCAAGAGTTACCTGTTACAGGGATGGATATTGGCCTGGCTTTTCTATATCAGCCTGCGGTTAGAGAATTGCCTCCTGCACAATGTGAGGGACTACTTCATCGCCGCCAGCCCTTTTCCCAGCATACATAAACCCGATGTATAAAAGCCCACCGCATAGTGTAAGCATACATGTCATTTGGCTTTATACCAATCTGAAACCAAGACTACAGACCACTTTAAATTATGTAGTCATTATTTTTCTTTTTATCCCAACATTTTAATTCAATAAACCAATCAGAAATGCATTTTCCATTGATAGGAGATTATGAATGGGGAACCATTAAAGCACTTAAAAAAGCAACCATTATTAATGATTTAGTCCTTTGAAATATCGATTATTGACTGGAGATAGTTTCCAGCAGTCTTTATTGTCATTACTGTACATCATTGAATAGTCTTTCCATGCAAACTCCATGAAATCATGAAAATAGAAAAGTTTTGTTTCAGCCCACGCTTTTTCCATAAGATCACCATTCTTTTGTTCCCATAAAATAGTAGTGTACTGTGAGACGTGTATAAAATAGTTAGTGTATGCAATCAGGATACAGCCAAAAAGGAAGGTGTTTCACATCTTTTAGATTTTTGTTATTCCTCAAAAAAAGATAAAAACTGGTTTGTCACAAAGCTAAGAGAAAATAAGATTTTAGTTTTGCAAAATTATTTTGTTTGATTACTTAAAGGTCTCTCATAGGTGACTATGACAGAAAAATAAAACACAATCACCACTGAAAGTAGAGTAGACCAGTTGGAATACATGAAAATTAAAATCGTAAAAAAAAAATATTAAAATAATTCAGTATGTAGTATATTAGTTATTTGTTGTGGAAAATTCCGAACAATTTTAAAAGGGGAACTGCTACAGGACTTTCAACTGCTTCATCTTCTTTCATGGAGGCCCACGACTATGTGGGAACACAGTGACTTTTGGAAAAACTACATTTTCAGCCCCCAGAACACAACAAGACCTAGGTAACAGCACCACAAGCCTCTCTGCAGGTTTTGGGGTTTTTTTTATTTTTTTTTCAATTAGGCTTCACAGTACTGTTATGTAGGACCCATCTCTAAGATTGAAAAGGGTAGTGTGGTCTCCAGCACCCACCCAACCCTTCATTTCTTACCCAAGACTACCAAATAAAGAGGCGGTTATATTGGTTACTCCACACCAAATGAACTGAGATCACCAGCTCATTTCTTAAAGACCAGGGAAGAATTGCTTTAGTTTAAAATAAGAAGGACAGTAATGAATATAAAGTTTAGCCCAAGAACCCAAAGACAGAAGAGACTCTCCTTTCAGGAGTTCCTGTTATGACTCATTTAAAAGAAATCTCCTGTCTTATCTGCCTTCTGGTGCACATGTCAATGCCACAGATTTCACATGTGACCCATCAGCATCTCAAGACAGCATTTGCCCTTTGATATCTAGATTATTAACAAATATATTTGTCAACTTTGTCTCACGGTAATTGCTAGTTCATATCTATTAATCTGTTTGTTCTTAGAAGGTAATTTCAATCAGAATTCTTAATCCAAGAGTGAAAAAACTGTTTTTAAATAATGAAGAAAATCAAAGCTTAAAACCAGTTTGCGTAACTAGGTCTAGAATTTATTACTCCTGAGAGAACAAAGATACAAAATACATGTGAAAACTACACAAAGATTTCTACAAAGTAAAAAGTAGAAAGTGGGAAAAGGGAAAGCTACAGTTCAGTGGTTACACAGAAATGTATGGCATGCATTAAAATACTGTAAATTCATGAAGTTTTTTTTAAGTGCAAATGGTTTTTTTAACAGTTCTCACTGAAAAAATATGCAAATTGATACCTATGTTGTACACTTGTCATATTATCAGAAAGACACCAACACAAATCTATGCATATACACATCAATATGTCTGAAGTACATTTTGTGGTTTTGTTATTTGTAGGCACTGGTTACAAGTCTGTTCAATAGTCAGTTTCAGAAATTAAGTGGTAGAGCTTATAGAACATTTCTCAAATACTACTAATAAAGGAATTTGTTTTTAAAATACCAAGAGGATGAAATAATTTGCATTGCCATTTATAAGCATCCAACAACCAAAGAAGTATTTACAAATCATCAACCATACAGATAAAGAACAGTATCAAATACTCTGTGTAAAAAGATAAATAATTAAAATGTATATTCCCACATCACAAAGAAATGTGATCATACAAATTATGGCACCATATGTTTGTAAAACATCAAAAATAAATGTAGCACATAGATACCTCTTCTTATATTTTACATTACAATATACAGTACAATGACTGTAAAACGTCAATGTCACAACACCCATTGTCTTCAAACTCTTGTTTCTGGTAATAGCAATTATTGTTAGAGTCCATGTTTATAAAGAAATTCCATACTTCAGCCTTGGGCTAATATTGCTCTGTGATATTGCTAGACCATGAAACTTATATCCTAAAAAAAGTTACATATTTTCTTCAAAATTATCTAATAGAAAGAGCTATTTCACGTGAATATTCTGGGAGAAAGTGTGATAGATGCAATCTACTTCTCTGTGTAGGAAAGTATGGGTTAAAAAAACCTAACATTTTTATTTTTAGTCACAAGTATCTAATTTATTAGAGAAATATTTTTGAAATTAAGGTTTATCCATTTCAAATTTTAATCATAAACAGTACTGCAATTTTCAACACATAATTAGGGTTCCTGCTAAAGCACTTAAACTTCCAAACCCTAATCATGTATCTCATTATGACAAATGGATCAGAAAATCTGGAATGCAACAGTGTTACACAGCTCAAAATGCTGATATCCTATTTTGCGCTCCTAGGGTAAAGAATGAGATAATTATAGCATATGGATGTATTTTAAAGGTTTGTCTGCATGTGTCCATTTTTGGCCACATGCCAAATCCAAACAAAAGTACATTGTTAAAGGCAACCAGAAATATTACAGTTAGCACAGACTAAGGCAATGAAAATATTTTTTTTTGTAAAAAAATTAAGGTGCAGAGAGAATTTTCTTTCTTGTTTTAATGGGTGCCAAATACTGATCAACAGTGCCAAGGAAAAGTAGTTTTACATGAAAGGAAAGACTATTAAAATCTAGAAATACCTGAATTGGATCTTTGATATCCAGATTTTTCCTGATTACCTGCAAAAGGAGTTGGGGGTGGATAGTTGGCTTCTGTGAGTTTACTGATGTCTGACGGTGGTGTTGGTGGTGGCGGTGGTAGCAAAGTGCTGTTAGGGCTACTAATATCTCCTTCAGCCACAAGAGTCAAGTCTGCCACGTTCTCATCATCGACCATCTGTATGCCTTCAGCTTGTAATTCTCTTGACTGCCTTTTCCATATTGTTGCACTGTTTTCCTGTGCATGCGGAATTGGAGACAATGCAGTATTAAAAGGAACACTGAAAGTCTTCTGACTGTGGAGTGCTGTCAAAGCAGATTTATGTTTATTTTCTGAGTAACCCATTTTCTTAACTGAATTTTCATTAAAGTTTTGTACGGACTCCTGTTTTCCACTTGGTGACGTACATCCATCCTTGCCATCAGTTTTTGAAACTCGCCTGTTGAGGCCTTTAGGGCCCGCAGGAGTAGATGAGGATGGCTCTGGTCCAGTGGGCGGTAAACGAAGAAAATCGGGAAGAATAAGGTCTTCTTTCCTTAGCAGTCCACGTTGGTCATCTGCTCTGTTACTTTGAGCTTTGGATATGAGTTCAAAAAATTCTATTGGGGAAAAACCCAAAATTGACAAGTTTTTGTCAGAAAGTGCAATGTCATTAAAATGTAAATTTTCAGCACATTTATTTTCCATGAAGATCTTCAATTCTTTCAATGCTGCCTTGAAATAAGATCCCATGTTAATTAGGAACTTTTTCAATTGCAGCAATGTTTGCTAGCATCACTATAATTAAGACCATCAGGATTGCTATTGTAAGAGTTTTGCAGTTTAGAGCAGCTGCAATTCACTGAGCCTTGAACACATCTTCTATTTTATGCAGTTAATAAATCTGTACACACACACACAGGATTTTTAAATTCTTTATACAAAACAAGGCTCTGGTCTTACTGACAATGGGTGCACATTTTTATATTCTGGATGGTTTTTACCCATCTTAACTCAAAAATAGCCATGCCATTTGAAAATTCAAAGATTCAGAATGTTGCAAACTTCCTTGTTATATTGAATTTCTCTCAGTTTACTAATATTTTATCACAGTTTAAATTCAATTCATGGTGTAGTTTTAACCTAGGATGCTATCATCACAGGGCATGATCAGACATTTCTTTAAGTAACCCCATTTTACTTTGCACTGCAATGAATCAGCAGCATATAGGTAGTCAATAAACATCAAAAGAGGCATTAGTAAAAGCGATGGGGCAGCTTTTTTTATAGCGTTTTTAACACAATTAGAAGTGATTTTCTGATCATGTCCTTAATGATGTCCAATGGTTTAATATGTTTCTATATGTAATACTCATACTAAATCACCACTGTTCTAGAAAGTCTCAAAACTTGGCAACAAGAAACTTATCAATCATAAGCCAAGAATTATACCACTCCTCAAAAAAAGAAGCATTGCAACAACAAACAAACTCTTTGGTACAAAACATATAAATATAAAAATATGTAACTCTCAATATAGGGTCTCTGCATGTCCTAATTGTTCAAGAAGAGAGCACTGAAACTATGGAATATTAAAGATGCTTAAAAAGGCCATCTCCAACAGGTGAATTAAAATCAATAGTTTCAACCCAGCTTATAAATACTGTTTGAAGCAAAAGCCATTACAAAATAAGCACAAAATGTCAGTATCAGTTTTAACTTAGCATAATATGAAGTCATACACTTGCACTTGTATGCCTTTATTCCTAATCCTCTATTCATAATTGGCAGGCTTTGCAATATATTTGTAAAAATGACTTTTTAACATGCTTTGTCAAATGCCATAAAATCTGAATGTAGCCAAGATGGAAGCTTCAAAATGCTTCTTATTGCCAAAGTTTTGCAAAATGGCGGTATGCATATTAAAACATGCAACATTTCTAATATGTGTCATACAAAATGTTCCTTTCTGAAATTTCAAACTTCATAGAACAGTTGTTTGGTTTTTTTCATTAAAAAACAGTCTACAACATTTGGTACGTATTTTCCGAACTTGGACAAATTTCACAAAATTCAAAATAAAATGTGAAAGCCTCGAATTCTGAAGTTTTCAAATTATGTTAATGATTTACTCAGCCCTAGGAAGAAAAATGAAAATATTAAAATATGCAAAACAAGTTAACAAAATAGTAAGCAACAGAAAATAATTTAAAATGCACTAATATTTTATAATAACATTTATATTAACAAACATCTATTTTGCAATAAAACTTTTAGTCACAGCATTTTTTTTCCATTCCAGTCAGTGGACATTTATTCACAGATGAACATTCATTTGCTGTATAACTGTGCCTAACCAGGTGTTGAATATGCATATTAGGTAATATCAGCAGTGAATTTTGATCTGTGGGTAAAATGTCCTCTTTTTTTTTTTTTTCTACTTGGGAAAACAGGGAGGAACGTGTAGGGCTGGCAACACAGGTAATTGCTTCAGTTAATGCCCTAGGGCAGAGGGTGGTATATCAAGATTTCTACTGCTACACCATTTTTATTCCTTTCTCCCATGGACATCTTTCTGTAAGAAAGCAAATCCTTAGGAGTTCTTTTCCAATAATATCACCAAAACTATTAAGATGTAATTGAAGGTAAAAATAGGAGTCAGAATATACAAGATTACCAATAACCTCTTTGCTTATTTCTACTTCTAACCACCTTTTCAGAGCAGCTACTGAACATAAACTAAGCTTTTACTCTTGCTCAACACAGCTCCTCCAGAGTCATGAGACTGTACTACCCTGACTGTTACAGACTTTAGCATAAAATTTTTAGAAATTCTTACCTGAGTAAATTAGAGCCTACACCATGGTGCAGAACGCCCTTCAATGAGTTCAAGACTCTTATGTAAAGGTGAACAGAAAAGCAAGCTCCTACATGGCTTGCAAAGGGTATCGAATGGGATATTCAACTGCAACTGAGTACTAATTCCTTTTTATTTTACCTGGAATTAGGTAGCTTTCACTTTTGAAAATCCCACTAGGCACCTAAGTCTATCTTTAGGTATTCTTAAAATTTTACCTTCAGCTTCAAAAACTTTACAATTCAAACACAGCATCAAACAAAAATATAAGGATCGTGACTATGATTTTCACAATGCAGTATTAAACACACAGTACCTTTTCCTACACAGATATAAAATTCTCATTTTCTAAGACTACTTATGTTAATACATAAACTATAAAGTTCACATACCCTCTGCTTCATCCAAATTTATTTTCTGACATTTTTTTTTCCCAATCTTTGCAATAGAGTCTTCTCTCTTTGACAGCCGGACTTCCCTAGCATTTTTTCCATTTTCGCCTTTCATTTTGATAGAATTAGACTTTCCTAGAGTTCTTCCCTCTCCCTGCATTAGAAGGAAAGTTAAGGTACTACTTACATTTAGGCTATATAATTGTGTACATAATATGGTCTAAGTGAATAAAAAAGGTATTTTGAAAACACATTTCTCTAACACCACCACAACAAATGTTTTAGTTTAATCTTGATTATGACAAAGAACATCTGCCACAGTACTTCCCAAAAATGTAAAAAAAAAATAATAATATTGCATACTCTGAAGAATTCAGATTACAGAAAGGGCCTTTGAATTTCAGAGTAATTCAATCATTTTCAAATACAGATAAGCCAACAAGACACAAAACAACAAATACAACACAGTGAAAGAGCTATTTGATTCATCATGAAAACAAAGTTCTCACAAATAAACGCTGCTGACAGTGGAAAAATATCAGATGACTTACAGCTAAACTCAGTCTAGTTACATGATTTGGCTGATTCAAAATCATGGATGAATGCAGCTTTTAGTATAGAATTCCAGAAGGAAAAAAAGATGATCTAAGGGACAAAAATCATTGCAGAAGACTTACAGTAGATACTTGATTTCTTGAAGTAGTTACAGTTGCACTCTGTTTTACTGATGCACCTTTTTGTTTATCTGTAAACACTGAACATAAACATACCTTCCATAACTACAAATTTACAATTTCCCAAAAAAGTAATATTTAAGTGACAATGATGCACAAAACAGATCTTTTGCTTTAAAATTTCTCAAATATGTACTCAGAAAATAAAGAGTGAGAACAGTTGATATCTCTGATACTTTTCAGTCAAAACCTACCAGAATCTCCCTCTCATCTTTAAATTTTCCTAATACTGACAATACTTTTAAAGTTGAAAGATGCTGATGTTTCATTTAAGTTCTCCTAAATTTTCAGCTGATTTAAGATCAAATAGCTTTTAAAGCCTCAGCTAATAATTCAGTTTGTAATTCTCAAATTTAGAATTTAAACAAGAAAAAAAAATCAGCAAAGACCATTGAAACATCATGTTGCATCTTTTCCAACCTGTTTCATGCATCAACTGTTTTCTAGACATTGCCATATCCTCCTTGTCTACTTCTAAGTAACTAAATGGCTCCTTCAAATTACATCTGCCTACAACAAATATACTAACCGAAGACTGAGCTGCAAACAGAATAATGGTGCTTTTTCACTGGTACATTGCCACAGAATCAGCCTAGTGCTAGAATGATCCTCTATGATTGAGGCTTTTATAGCAGCTGGCAGCACACAGGATTACAGTTTTACTTGTAATCCTTAAACTAATTATCTGTAAGAGTATTTAGATTTTTTTTTTTTTTTCCAAAATGACAATTGGTTCTGTTTCCTAGAAAAATGACAAATCTGATTCTCCTCAATAAATACTTCCATCTTTATTCTCCTAGTTCTTCCTCAAAGAGGATCTCTGATCTAAGTCAATTTAATTTAACCGCATCTAATTTCATTTTTAAAACAAAGTGTTCTATACCTATAAAACGGTCTCCTAATGAAACAGAACCTTTACTCTCAAGGCTGCTTACATTAATCTAGCATACTAATTGTGCCAAAAGATTGTCAGCTGTTTAGTTGAACAACTTCTGTTTTTCAAATTATTTTGTCCAGGGAAATAAAAAATTATATCCTTTTTAGTATTATCTCCAGAAATCATCACTTAAAACTGGAGATGTAGGCTCTGCTACTTTCTCATGTTAAAGGCAGTTATAGCAGTATATACAGCGGCTGCACAAGCTGCATCTGTTTTACTTACACAGAATGTTTCTTTTGAATTAACTGCCAAATTCACAGAAGTTATTTGGCATTTTATTCTCATTATTATTACTGGGTACTATGTCCCTAAATGTGTATGTGGATCTATGGCTGAGTGCAAGTAAAATATTCAAGTATTACTAGTGCAAATTTCATATAGCAACACTAAAGTACTTGGTATCAACAGATGAATTTAATCTTCAATCTTTAGAAACTGCACTCCTTTCTAGTTAAAAAGAATATATGCTGTATGCAACATATCCAAATCTAATCACATTTACCTCACCTTCGCATCAACAGAAGAAACTAACCAAAGTCAGGGTTTATGAAACTGACTTGACATCATAAATAAAAGCATTTATGCCAACTTACCTCTACCTTTTGTTGGCTCTTTTTCATCTAGAACAACCCGCTGACCATCCAGATTAGATATAGGGACACCAAGATCAAGTGGTTCCTGCTCACCATTCTAAAGTCGGATCACAGTTGGTATATAATAGAGAAGAAAGCTGTTTTCAGAACTAATTTATGCAGGTTTTGAAAGAAAATGAGCAAAGCATTTTTACATTTCAGTGTAGTCTCAATGTATCTTTCTTCTACCATTCTAAATATGTTTATTCCATTTGTGTAAAACTACCTTGGTTACAATAAATGTAACCCATTCATGTGAGGAGAATGGTGTTTGGGGAAAAGAAGACACAAGGAGGAAAAAAAAATCATCCAATTTGCAAGCATGCACAAATACTCCAGGACCATTACTATGTATGTTCAGCAAATCATATTTTTTCAGAGGAAGCTTGAAATTATTTTACATTCTAAATTAGTTGTACTTTGTTAATTTTCTAATTTTATTAAATGAAGTTATCTTTATACCAACATGTTTTCCAGTTATTTTAAAAACATGGACTGGTTTAGCCAAGACAGTATACATTCTAGAAATATCACAGAAATAAGTTTCTGTTCCTTGATACTCCATCATAGTAGAATAGAGAAAATGCTAGCCAAGTGCTTAGTAGTAGAGAAGTTGAATCAGTCTGCTTCCGCAGAAATTTTGCGCGAGGGGATTTGAGGCAACTTTCATGATTCCCAGGATAATGGAACAATAGCTTTAACTAATCTCCATCAACTTTCCCTGCCTAATAATGGGAAAAGTTGAGCTCTGGAAGAAGCTAAGTTCAGGCTCCATTGTTTAGGATGTTGGATTTATTCTAAAGGAGAATATAAAACAGACGCAGACTAAAGCTTTGAGGTAGTTACTATTAAGCATAATGGCTATGACTACTATGCATTTTCATCTCCGCATTTTCATCTCAACATAAATACAGATTTTAATGCCTAATTATAAGGATAGGAATAATTTCAGGGACTATCATATGATCTTCTCCAGACAAAAATATTGCAGCTTGAATTACATCAAAAGACACTTACTAGTCTTGCCACAAGTTCATTAAGATTTAAACCATATTTTGCAACCACAGGCCTTAAGACCTCTGTTACTGGTTTGGTGGGTTTAGCCTTCAAACCAACTGATCGATTGATTGGAACAAGATCCAGCCTGAAACACATCAATTGTAACATTAAGTATGAAATATTCCAATAAACAAAATGCATAAAATATATAAAATCCAATCTACAGCAAAGTTATACTAGTTTATAGCTAGTGACCCTGAAAATTCACTAGCACAAATCTACCCTAATCTGAAGGTACAAAGCACTTTTAATACAAATAAAACTTCCACTGTTTCACTTGCCAGAGCTGAGCAAAGGCATGAGTTAACCTAATTGCATGGTGATTCTCAGACCAATTAAATACATTCCATAGCACTTTCATCTTTACAGTGAGATTACTCTAACCATTCTGGTCTAGTAGTGCTTTCAAGGTGACTCCATGCCTGCACTGTAGCCTTGGATGCAAGAAAAATATTTCTTCCCACTTCCAGAAGAGAGACTCACAATGTCCTATTCAATTACTTGAGATGAGCTTTGACAGGACTTTTTATTTTTATTTTTAAACATAGGAACAAACACAGTGGAATTCCAGATGATGCTAATTTCTGGCTAGATGCCATCATATCACAAAAAATTGCTGTAAGAGAAACTTACATGAAAAAACTCTAAAAGCAGTTCAGTTGGAATTTAAAGGATAAAGACAGTCCTCTTCAGAGTCTATTATGCAATTTTATACCATTTCATCAAAACAGCAAAAAAGTAATGAAATAAGAAAAAAATTTTTTCAAACCCAAACAACTATTCCATTTGTGTCTATTTCCCTGCACAGAACTCTGCCTAGTTTGGGGTTGTTTTTAAATGCTTTTCATCTATGGCCCAATTCCCCCATAACAGCCACATTTGACTATAATGGCCTTATAGTATGAAAACAAGGGAAGGCTTATTACTAACAAAACTATCAGAAGAAATGAAAATTATTAGTGATTTTGTCAGTCACAATTAATTGTAAACCCCATCTTTTCTCTCACATAACTTACTTAAATACAAGACATTTAGTCTAATTGACTTTTCCCTTCCACAAGCAACCTGAATAACTGAAACTTTATCTTTCATATTTTCTTTGAATACAACAGCTACTAAAGAGAAATGATCAATTTTAATGATTAACTGGTAATTGACACAGAAGTGGCAGACATTCAGGTAACCACGTATATCCAAAATTTGGAAAATATTCCAAATATTTGACTATTTTTGCTTACACAGTGTCCACCCACAGAAGGAAATAATGTAGAACATTTCTACATTTTAATTAACACACAAGTAACATACAGTACTGCCTACCTAAAGTTCCTTTTTAATTTGGAAACTCAAACTCACACCTAATAAAAGACTGCTCAATCTGAATTTTTAAACTGAATATGCTATACCATATTCATTAACCTGAAGTACTCTCAAATAGAAACTAGCCCTACTTCCTAAAGAAAAGTAATATAACGCCAAAATGAAGAATGCCTGACAAAATACATTTTGTTCACTTCAAAAGCACAACTCAATACTGTAACACAAACATTCTACTTCATGACTTTTTCCTGAAATAATTATTTCAGGAGCTTTCATAGCACTAGTTTGGATTTTTAGAATTTAGAAACTTTAAAACATTTTCTGGCATTTTGGAAAAAAATAGATTATTTTGAAAAAGTGAGTATTATTTTAAAAAAATTACATAATGCTAAATATATAAGGTACTGAATTATATTATACCCATAGTAATAATAATATTAGAACACTGACTTGTTTAAGATTCAGGGTTATAAGTATATACTCAGATGAATTTACATTTATACAATTAATCTTACTGTAGTCTGTCAGGCACATAATTACAGAGGTAACTGAATGGGAACATGTAATCAATAACTATACCTATTTAATCTTACAGGCCTATATTTTAATTGTTGCATTTAGGATTAGACTAGGAGACTTGCAGTTCAATTTCCATCTCATTCTTGTGCTGCCTCAACCTACTAAAACATGTCTCTTCCCAACGTGGAAGGTGTCTCCGGGCCCGCAGATCTGTCCTATATGCTTGTTCACAACTGCTTCAGCTTGAGCAGTTGGACATCATAATAATACTTAAACGTGCCTAAACTGGAACTTTGACATCAAAACCCCACTTGTATCCAAGACGGCAATCCAGAAAGCTTCCTCTTGCAGCATTTAAAACTTACCAGGTGCTGCTCTACTCAGTTTGAAACGTTCCTGTAGGTCCACGTTTCTCCCATTGATCCTTACCCTGGTTGCCCTCATGCGAATTAGGTTTTAGAGGTACCCGAATCTCACCATTACCTGTAGAGGAAGCGCTTACCAGCTGGCTCTAAATCTAAGGGATATCAGTGCCTAAACGTAGGCAGGATATCTAACTTAGGCACTTGTGTAATTCAGAGAATCCCCAAGCTAAATGCATCTCTCTTGCATAAGTGTTATTGCAATGTAAAGTAAAAATGGACTTCTACTCTAACAGAAACTCAAACTGTGAGTTAACCGCAAGACATGGAAGTCAATCATTTTCAGTTACAAATGTTAGGTCACCTTCCTTCTTCGCATGAGACTGCTTGATACTAAGGCCTATTTCTTCTAATGTGCCTATATGATGAATGGGAACCTTAGATCCCCTAATGCTGGATTCTGGATTACAATCTACGATGTTGCATTGCATGACTAACTGGATTTTTTACTGGATTCAGACAGATTCTTTTCTGCATTAACTACTGTTTTGCTGCACAGGTAACTGATAATATACTTTAGTGCACTTAAAAAAAGTAAAACGGAAAATGGGATAGAAAAAGCCAGAGGAAGATAATATTTCTGACTCTTACCGAAATAAAGTGCGTTTTTCTAAACGTAGGTCCCGAGACTCCAGGATGCTACTGTCTTGGTGCAATACAAGTGGCTACAGAGCACATGTCCAGAAAAAAAAGAAGAGAGTGCAAATTAGTTTTAAAATATGTAAAAAAAGAACAGCTGAGAGGGCTGAGAGGTTAAAAAAATTTTTCAGCTAACTCAGAAAATTATTAATATAGTTTCTATGCATTCTAGTGGATATTAATTGACAGTATGCAACATGATTAAAGTGTATTTTATTTTGGCTAGCTGTGAGACAATGACCAAACTTCAACTTCCACTGCAGTCAGCAGGTATTCAGGAACTCGGTGTTTTAAAACAAGCTTGGGTCCTTCAACTTAAATAAATTATTATATAGAGTGATGCATTAGAAAATATGGCAAGTTAATAGCCTTTAAAAGATTTAAAAGACCAGGCACATAACTATGCACATTCGTTGATTTTTGTCATTGTAATCATATACAGTGATCATAAGCACAAATTTAAGACAATAAATGTTTCACATCCACAGCTTCTCTTTGAATTGGAGATACTTCTGTTGGAGTAAGAGCCATCACCCCCCACCAGCGTAGACTGCTTTCTTGGAAACATTCCTCAATATTAAAACGTGTACCTTAATTCTAGCATGAACTCCTCTCATTCATCTTTGAACAACTGAATGTCATTAAGTTTCTTTGCTTTAATGAAGTACCATCTACTACAACACATTTGTTTTCTTTGTGGATACTTTCAATTAAGTAGCTAACCATTCCCCTGGGCAAACTACATGGATTAGATACCTAAATTAACTTATTATAAGGAAATCCTTGTCATAAGCTCTCTTCTGCTTTCTGTAATGTAGATACCACAGCCAATCACAGCACTCCACCAGTTCTAGTTTCACTAAAATTCCCCTTCAATTAACTAGCATTGCTAATCTAAAGCTATACGCAGAACCAGGGGATACGTATTACCATTGAGAGAACATATTCCTTATTAGTAAAATGAGTGCGAAAACGCTTTAAAAAAAAGCACAGTAATATGCAATACCTTATCGCCTCCAACTAAAAAAAGGTCCACTGCAGCTATGTTAATGCCATGCTTCTCACAGAGCCCAGATAGCACCTCTTTGATAGAAAATCCGGATTTAACAGCCATTTTGCTGGATGAACCATCCGGAAGGTTTATACAGCAGTATTTGGGGGATTTATCTTTATCTGGCACAAATGCAGGTAATCTTGAGGCTTCAGACTTGACAGGAAAAAGAAAGAAAAGTCAGTGTCCAATGGGAAAATTAGGAATATGCATAAACTTTTAGAGTCTGTACAAATCAAACAAAGCCAAGTAGCATACTTTCTACCATGTTTACAGTTTAGAAATCCTTCCAAATATGACAAATATCAGATAAATGTAAATCCTGAAACAAAAACATTTAGATTAAGATAACAGGACTGCACAAATCTAAATGTATTTCAAGCACAGATGAAGTTTGAGACAGTGAGTGTGTGAAACAGGTTACAAGATTCTCAAACTATAGAACAGAACTCCTAATTAAAAAGTGTAAGTAGTAAATAAAATCTTATTTAGCTTCCAAATAGTTAAGCGTCTATACTCAATAATGACCTGTTGATGTAAAAGTTACCACAGGCACATTATGAATCAACATTTAAGCGATGAGGAACACCTTTAAACACCAAGTTCCTCAAACAAAATTTCCTCTTCTTTTAACATAATCTGAATGCTGCACATACAAATACACCACAGAGAAATTAAAATTTTAAAATAATTCACTTAATGACCATGCTTTTTTGTTATTAAAGAGAACAAAACAGACAATGTTATGGGTAAAGGCTAAAGGGCACAGCATTAACCTTTAATCTAGAGTAACAGAATAGTAACACTACTATGAAATATCAAAAGTATCTTTGAAATTTTAACAAGAAGCTCACTTATAACTTAAAAGGACACTACGAAAATACTGTTTTCAACAATCTTTTAGGGTACTCATCGTGCTTTTTCTCTTCTCTTTAACTTGCTGCTTCTCATCCAAATCACAGTAACTTTCTGACTTAATCGGTTGGAGTGAGAGAGAAAAGAGGGGTTGTTGCTTTAGGGAGACTTTGCGTTTTCTGTTTTTTAAAATAAGACTTTTCTGCAACAGAAATAAACATGACTTTGCCATGCTTGGTTCCTTGATCAACATTTGTAGCATAGGCAAAATTACATAGTTGCTAGAATCTAGTCTACTAGAGGGATATCAAGACTCCAAATAAACTTAAAAATTTCCTTTTTTATATTCTTCCTCCATACCACTGTAGTTAAAATAAATTTAAAGTATTACATTTATGTTCTGTTATTAATACTGTTTTAATTTTGCATTTCATTAGTTCTACACTGCGAAGGTAGAACTTGATGGTTAGAAATCACAGCATCTTCACTGATTATTTTCCTACATACTATGCAAAAACCACAGTGTTTGCAATGAAATTCCCTACCTCTCTTTTCTCAGGTTTTAGGAGAAGAGTTAAGTCATAATGACAAGAAGTGAGTTTCTCCTCACAACTTTAAAAGAAACGGAGAGGGAAGAAGCATGAACAGACACTGGTACCACAGAAATCAGCCTACCACAACATGCATACAGGTCAAGCAGAGGGAAAGCTTTCACATGTGGTTGTTCAGAACAGAATCTCAAAGCTCTGGTAAGCAGCAAAAGCTGTTTATAAAGCACTAGAGTAGCTCCCTTTGAAAAGCAAACTTTTTTTCTGGAAATTTACTGGTGCTTGAAGTTCAGACAGACAAGATGCAAAGGCTATCTTTCTATTACAAGGACAAAATGAGAAACAATACATGAACACAACCTGTACTACATTTCTAGTATTCTAAAATTGCTTAATATTACATCTCCCCCCCAACTGCATCACTTAAAGACCCTTTCTCAAAGTATTACTTCAAACAAATTATTTCACACTACTTAGAAAATTAGTAATTCACTGTTTTCGCTGCTTCCCCATTACTTCATTATTAAGAGCCAGCCATTACCAAGTCAAGACTAGCAGTTGATGACATGGAGCCTTGTGATTCCCGTCTGTATGATAATCCATTGGACTGAATAGAATCTGTTTGTGGAAAGAATCAGCAATCAGTAAAAACGCTCATTTTTATTATTTATTATAATACAGAAAGCTATTTCAAATATTAGCTCCTCAGGTCAGAAAAATAAATTTTTCATTAAAAGGAAAAAACACCAAATCTTTATACTGTGAACTGAAGCAGGGAAAACCAAAACAATATACGGTCAAATAATTCCTAGTTATGTAACCCTTGAATAAGCCCACTTGCTTTTATATTTTAAAAAAAACCCACCAAACCAAATCTTAAAATGTTTTTACAAATTGAAAAATTATTCTACCTTTTCAGATATTTTGAAGAGAGATAAATATTTTTAAAAGTGAAAGTATGGTGTTAGAAAACTAAAATCTAAGCCAATCACTAGTCACTTTCAGAAGTCTACAATCTTAGCAAACACCTCATGTCTCTTCACATATGAGTATAATGAGAACACTTAAACTATCCGTCTGATCAAAGATATCTTGTGGGTCTGGGCCTTTACTAGAAAATAGAGAAGAAGTAAACCACAGTAACAATATGGTCCAAATTTGGTGCTTCAGTGGAATTTCTCTATTATTTTTAACTCAATGGAATAAGTTCATGCAAAACTCATCTCTTCCTCTAGAGGCCATGTACAGGCGCTTTCATAGGGGAACTCTTCCTTAAAACTCTCAAAAACAGTTAAGTAACAAAACAGCAGATTACAAGGGTTTTCACAACTCTGTCTTTTCTTTTTTATTTTAGTCAGGAAAGGTGGAAACAGGCAGTGTGTGTGTTCAAAAGTGAACATACCTGTGTGGTACTAATAAGAGAAAGGTAGGATAATGCAGATGGAGGAATTTTTAAATAGCTGTAACTATAGCACTATTTGCATGTACAGCTCCTGAACTTCTCAGTAAAAAGTTGAAATTATCTTACTATAAAAACAGTAAGCAAATTTTCAAGCAATATAAAAATTGCACAGAAATGCAGAGTCTACTGGAAAGCAGGAAAAAAGTCTCTTGGAAGTTATAAAATGAAATTTAAATAGTCTCCCACTTTTATCTATTTATTTGTACATCTGCTTCCACAAAACTTCCAGTGATACCAGGCCCGCTACAGCATTCTGACTTGACAGTTTCTTTTCCCTGTCACACTCAAGGATGCACTTAGATGCAAACTGAATAGGATGAGATTAGTCACATCTATTGCTGAAACAACTTTGCAACAAAGTGGAATGTGAATACCCACCATTTGGATAATCACCATTTTCTTTTCTCTTCTGTGATTTTCCCAAACTCTTACTTCTTGACCATGAGAAAAATGTTCCCCTTTTTTTCTTCTCAGTGTCTTCCTCTCCTGACTCTTCATTTAAAGATCTTCCTGATTTTGATTTACCGCTTAACTATCAACAAAACACAACTAAATCATTGGGTGGATCACAGTTGTAAGAAAATTATCTAAAATAAACCCTCCCACACTTCTTCCCAAAATGAGAGTGTGATGGTCAGGTTAGCTGTCGTCTTTACCCCACTCACAAGTGTACTTGCCATGATGCTTTTCAGTAGCAATAAAAAAAAAAACAAAAAACCCCAAAAAACCAAACCACCAAAACAACAGTGGAAACAAGAAGAAATACATAGATGGAAATGTGCCACTTGGTAGGGAGTACAAAATGGTAGCTGGAAACCAGCCACAGAGAGCTCCTGCAAACATGAAGGAAGTCTCCACAGCTCACCAGTAATGCCTAAGTTAATGTGGAAAGGCCATTTGCCTTGCTTTTGAATCACAGAATTTCGTTTCGGTATTTCAGGTATTTTTCCTAGGCTAGGCTTGAACATGAACTGCATTTAAAGACAATGACAAAGTATTGTTTAACATTTACAAGTATAACCAAAGTATTTATTAGTGCTGAAGAATACAAACATCAGGAATGTCTGATGTTAAACTAAACTTGCTTTTAACAAGCTACTATTCTTGTTAGATTATTAGAGTATTCCTTTAAATGCTACTTTAAAAAAGGTTCCTCATCATAAAAATAGCAGATGGGCTAATGTGTAGTGATTGACATGAAAAATGCAAAATTATAATTTACCCATACAGTTATGTAATACTATGGTGGTATTATCTACATGAAGAAAAAATAAACTCTAAATAACGTTAGGAGATCAGTAAGACTACAGGTCTAATTTTTAAGCAACTGTATCTGTTTTACACAGAATTATCTTAGATCAGTAGGGGCTAAGAAATTAAAAAAACTATCCTCTGCAAAAATGAGTTAGATTTTGCCTTCTCCAAAAACTTCTGATAAAATGTCTGCTCTCATCAAAGGTTAAAATATCACATTTTAATCCCAATATTCAATCAAAATAAGCTTCTGCACAGATGCATTAAAATAATCCTTGTTTTTTTGTTTCTACACATATATTTAAATAAAATAAAGATTTAAAATTATATTCAGGAAGTCAATAGCTAGAAATATGATTCAAAGTATGGATAAAAAAAAAAGAAGTATTTTCCTGAGTACACAAAGATTTTGTAATTATATTTGCCAGCACCACTAAACAAACATTCTAACTGGGTTTTTATATATTATCTTTGATCTTCTAAAAAACTTGAAAAACATTATTTAAGAACATAGTTTTCAGATAACAACAATGCAAAGGTAACCTTTTTCGGTGTTGAGATATTGGACTTCTCTGAACTGATGCTGTGTTTAGAAGTGGGGCTGCTGGGAACACGCTGAGGATCAGGAAGAGGACGACCTTCTACTTCAGCTAAGATGCATTCTTGGTAAAGGGGGGATTTCAGAAAGCGAGTATAGCTATCAAACTTCATCAAGTTAAATATCTGAAATTAAAATGCAATGGATAATAGTTACATAAGCTTAAATGACACATCAAGAAAATGAAGCTACTTTGCAACAGCCAACTCCCACAAAATTTAGGGACATTAACCTGTAAACAGCAGTAGGCATGACTTTGTTTAGACCTGGTGAAATACACTGCACCAATTTAAAGTGAAACATAATTTGATCTATTTCCTTAGCACAGGTTCAGAACAATGCTATGATTTGTGCAAAATGAATGAGAAGCTGAGTTGCTGTAGAGTCTTGATAACACCATCCTCATAACCATCTTTTACTGCATTTATGCCTTTGTACATTCTATGCAAAGCACGTAGCAAGCTAGCCATTTAAAATATTTTTTAAAGATTATTACATCAGTACTGTATGTGACAGGATCAAATCATACAAGTGTGCTTTAAGGTAGCTGTGAAAAAGAAAAAAGTTTATGGTCTAAGACTCAGGAATATGATATAATCACAATATGCAACAGTATGCAATGATACAAGATACACAAGGTTAATTACTGACGTGGGGAGGAGCGAAGAGTCCTTTACAGTAGTATGTAATGCTCGTGTACCCAACCATACAGGAAAATAAAAGATCAGTATCTTTGGAAGATTCAATAATCAACGTACTGTAAAATCAAGACCTTGAAAAATACCAGTTTACATAAAATGGCTGCTATGGGCAAGACCAACATCTATCTTTTAACAGCATAGGAAGGAAGCAGCTCTATACCAGGCCTAGAGCAAATGCCCAAGGATCATTTAGCCAAAGCTAAGTTTATAAAAGTAAAGGAAGAAAAGTTCTTTCTTAAATGCTAAACGATGTTTGGATTTCTTGTTCCATTTTTGCAAACCTACACTTTTAAGTCGATTCATACTTTTACCTTTGTATCTTCTCCAATGATTCACTTGACCTGAAAAACCAGTATTAATGCCGCCTTCTTTGGACATGACAAATTCCCTACAAGTGAAAAATGGTATGTGCCACCCAACTGGTTATGGCATCCCCAAAAGTCTACAGCGAAGTCCATCACTAAGCTACAGTGGCCCAGTTGCAGATGGAAATCATTTTTCAGATTGTGCAGAGACACCCTTCTCAACAAGCATTAGCCCAAAGCTTTTCTGGCAAACAGCAAGATGCTGCAGTGTCACAGAAACCTAATTCAAACTGAATGCTGATTTCCACATTCTTGGCTTCCCCCCGTAGACTTCCATTCCCTCTTAGGTGCTACCTGTCATGTTTGTTGGGCTCTCTAACAAACTGTTTTCCACATGGTAAGCTATGGAAAAAATGCTTTTGTAGGGTTAGCTTTGCCAGCTTAACGTGCTGAAACAGCTCAGCACAAAGACTAACGTGCCCTCAGTGCCGTGTCAGACAATGCAGTGTCAAAGAGACAATGTGATGTCAGTGAGTCTTCCCACTTGAAAAACTGCTCACAAAGGGGAATCTCTCTCTCACGCTATAGTAGATACAATCCTCTGACCACAGGTACACCGGTAAAATTCAGAAAGTCAACTAGTTTCTGAGCACACGTAGTCTTCAGGTCAAGGCTCAACAAATTATTCAGTGTACACAATGCGCATAGCTCAGAAATGTTCTTAAGTTCTGCTGAACTCAAAGCAAAACACTGTGGTGTATTGCCGAAAGAGCGTAAAATACAGAGAAGCAAGGTATCTCAGACAAGACATTAAAATGCCTCAATCTCACAGACTCAGAGTTGAGGTTAGTTGTTGTGGGAAAATGGTAAGTGCAGCCTGCACACACCAAGGCAGACCAGCAGTGAGACCCACCTTTCTATCTCCGCTTCGCAGATGGAGGAAGATGGCGTACCCACCTGCTCAGATTGCCCCAAAGCATGTGGTCTGAGGTTGCACAAACGCTAAGATTGCGACCTGCTGCCCTTATGCAGTTAAAGCTATATACTTGGTTTCTAGAGAACGTGATCTCAAAATTACTTCTACTAATAAATTGTTAGGGTGGGAGAGTTACCAAAGAGATTACTTATGAGAAAAAAAGAAACATAAATTCTACAGAAAATGTAAAGTGTATCCTGTTGTTACGTAACTGTTCTCTTCCTAACATCAATTATTTAAAATATCTCCACTTCAGAGGTCTTCAGACACCAACAGTTTTAACAAGCTCTTTGTCTGACAGTTCTATTAAAGCATAAGGGAAGGACTCCTTTAATACAGCAGACTTATTTTACAAACCACTTTAACCAAAATCAGACACTATTTTTGTACACAACTGCCCACTAAAGAAAAGAATAAGCAACCATATGCAAACACCATATGCAACTGTGTTGAAACACATGGAATTATTACTTAGTTGTACTAAATCTTCGTTTCAGTAATAGTATTTTTCATCTTATTTTTTAGTTAATGGCAATTTTCTGCACATATGCAGATGTACAGAAAAAAAGTCAAGCAGCCTTCCATTATACAGCCTTTTTCTATTCTGCTAACAGAATGTATATGATCTTGACTTCAATGTCTTTTTATACATAGTAAAATATACAGCATGTGAAACTACTTTTATAGATTCTGAAGTACTTCAAAGGAAAAGATAACAGACATAAATGTACAGTAGTCATGTTTTCTATGATTACCTGAAGTTGCTGTTCCTTGAACATATCTGGATGTGGAGAATTGAGAATATCATCTGCCAACTGTGCCTGGCTATCAATATTAACTGGGGTTGTAGCTTTGCTACACAAGAACTTACTGAAGATCTCCCGAGCTCTGTAAGAAAGCTACAGAAAAGAAATGCTAAATGTATGTTTGCTTTAAAACCGTATTTTTAGACAGGCATTTCTTACACTGATATTTCAGCCAAAAATACACAGCCATTCCAGTTTCTTTAATATACAAGCATTTTTCATTTAACAGCTTTTGTTAGTTTTATGCATATAAATAGGGTTTTTCCTTTAAAATTACAAATATTCATCACTTATTTCTTAAGCAGTAAAAGTTGCCATCAAAATAAAAATTAAAATAATCAAACTATGAAAATAAAAATAATAAAAGTGAAGCACATCAAATGCTTACAAAGGAGAACAGATTTTTTAGATTTCAGACCTTTTACATAACAGCTACTATTTAAATAAATCCTCTAAGCTTCAATTTCTGTAAGTCAGAAAAAGGTAAGTATATATATGAATATTTATGGTCAAAAACATTCATGCTCTATTTTTAACTTGTGTACTTTGAAACACCCACATTCTGGAAATAATGAAAAAACACCAAACTGAGCTCAGAGCCCTTAAGGGTGGTGTTCCGAAAATACACTGTTTGAAGACACAAGAAAGTGGGGGGAAAAAAACTCAGTGGTCCACAAAAGAGCAAAGAGGGACTTGCAAGATGAAACAGCTTCCACAGTGTAAACCTGACTAGATTTGGCTGTGGTGTTGACAGAAGTGTTGCCAACCTACACAAAATTCAAAATTCACCAAAACTGCCTGACCAACTCAGGACTGTCTTAAAAGGATGAGATGCGATTCTAATAATTTGTGAATAAATATGACTACACTTACAGCAGCAGATATATCAAAGTTAGTTATAAACACATTATCTTGGCTAGTGGAGGCAGTCTAGCTGAAAGAGCACAACAGAAGCTAATTTTTGCCTCTCCTTGACATGTTAAATTAACTTGCTCTGCACTCCGTTGCACTGGGCTACTGCAGCTAGCCATTTTTCAACATCCAGTATACCTTAGCTCATTTTTACAGAGCTACCTCTGCACTTCACTGCAGTCTAAATATATCTAACATCTTAAGCCTGGGACAGTGCTCTCAGGGGACTGAGAAAATTAGACTGAGGCTCCAACCCTATTTTAGTGAAGTCACATACAAAGACCAAGCACAGCTCCAATAACTTCAATAATCTTCAAGAAGTACCAATTTCTAGTAAGCAACACCATCTATTGAAATACAACATTGACTTACCTCTTTTTTATCATGTGCAGGTACATGGTTAAAATATTCACAGGCCTGCCAAAATAAAATATTTTCTTCACTAAATTCTTTCCTTAGAAATTCCTAGGGGGAAAATAAAAAAATAAACAAACATCTTATAAAGAAAAGAAGCTACTTGCCATTTCAAACAACGTATTTATAATGCTTGATAAGAATATTAAAGTTTGCATAATGGTAACATTTCAATCAGTTTCACAGTCCAGTTTTCTTCTGAAGTAAAAGTCAATGCATGTCCAATATATGCCTAGTGCTTCTTCTCTTTCTCATTTCTTTTCAAATGTTTACAATTGAGAAGAATCCATCAAGTTACAATCAAATCATCTGCACATACAAAGACGAAGTTTGAAACTTCATGTTAAGTAGTGTATAAACTAGTGAACAAACTTTGAATAAAAATGTAAATAATTTATAACTACATTTAAAAATTACACTGTAAACCGTCTGTCTTTAATTGCAGTTCTACTAGTATAATAGAGTAGATGTTTATCAAACAGTGCCCATAATCAATTCTGTATTCATTACAGTGTCTTTCTGCATCACAAGGAAACTACAAAAAATTGTTGATCACTGCTTGCTGATGTGGTTTCTCCTTGGAAAATGCATTCTTACAGGGGGGAAAAAAAAAAAAAAATCTCCCAGTACAACACACAATAATCAGGACATTTATATTATAGCATCCAAAGGTCCAAATGAAGACTGGGTCCCCGTTCAGTTGAGAAATTGTACAACCACAAACTGTCCCTGATTCAAATCTGTATAATTCAATATTCTCTCAGCATGTTTCTTGAAAGCATTTTAACCATTGGGGGTGGGTGGGAAGGGGGTATATATAAAAAAAATTAACTTGGTCATCTAAAAAAATTATCTAGGCATTCATGTAATTGCAACAATGCTTGTTTACACTTTAGAGCTTTAGGTATCAGTGTTTAATTGGAAATTTTATTTTAAGTCAGCCCACAAGCCACAACCTTCACTCAAATGTCACACTGGTATCACTCAAGCTTCCTTAATATACAAGGTAGTGTCAGAAAGCAGTGTAAAAGGAATCTTCACAGAAATACTTAAAACTTAACTTTACTTGTGCTTTTAAGTTTTGCATAGAGTTTAGGGAGTCCAACTGTAAGAAAGCAATGGAGATAAACTACAATACAGGGAGTCTAAATACACTAGCAATCTCTCAATTTAAACTAAATGTTCTTCAGATACCTAACCTGAGACACCAAATGTATAAAAGGCAATCCAGAGTAGTCAGGGAACATTTCTGCATTTTACATGTAATTACAGATGAAAAGAGAATCAAATTAGTGAGCAGGAACTGGAACCCAACTGCCTACTTCCCTGCTCAGTGTCTTCACTGCGAATCTACAGTCAATCTCCTGCTTGCTTGCTTGCTTCCTGGCCACGTGATTTGGGCACAGCTGGCTGCACGACGATTCAGCTTCATCAGGAAGACTGCGTGGTGCCCCAGTTGGAACATTTTGTAGCCTTGCAGTTGTCCAATACGGCTGGGAAGCTGGAGATGTTGGTTTGAACCACTTGAGGAGGGAACTTGCAATCAGGTGTCTCACTTCCCTGGATGACTGCTCTAATCAGCAGACTATTATGCAAAATGTGAGTATTTGCAAAACATGCAAAATCTCCTCTTCTTAGAGAGTAGTTCCTGCTCTGTGACAAAGCTGTCCTCAGGAAAGGCCTATGCATGCTGAATCCCAAATACACCAAGATGCTTACTACGCAATGGTAAATTAAATGTTGATGCTCCAATGTTCTTGAATACTGGCAGAAATCTGTACCTTTTGGCTAGTCATAGGTGACTCCCTTCTCAGTCTGTGGCCTTGATGAGCTTCCCTTTTAAGGCATTTTTTTTAGGCACCATGACTCTGCTTTATGCGAGACTCCAAGGCTTACACTCTTAAGTGTACCTAAGTTTACTGGTGGTTTAAAAGTAATGAGAAAAGACAACTAAACTTTCAGTAGCACACTCCCAAACTATATCATTTTTCAGGTGGATTCTAACATCAGACCAAAATTGTGATTTTTCTTTCAGTTTGAGAAGTAGTCTCAGTACCTAAGCAGAAGTGCTACTAACTCTTAGGCTACTCTACTAAGAAAAATGGAATGGCAGGGAATATAACGTCCAGGATATATTACTTTGCTCTCATCTTCTCTGTTTCTTTAACCAGGTGTTCACTGTTAACGTGGTTTTTTGGGTCCCCATGCCATTTAATATGGAAGTCTGCTTATCATTCATTTGATATTTTTATGTACATTTGTATCAAGTAAAGGAGTCCAACAATCTACATCTCTTACACCATAGGTTTGTTTATGTCCTGTTTGTGAAAATTATTTGGGCAGCACAAAATGTCCTTGTGATTCAGAATCAGCAACAGACATTCAGTGCAACAATGCGGAAGTGTATAAACCTCCATTTCCTTACACATAAAATAGATGATACTGCTTACAACTTCATGAGTGTGCTGTGAAGAAGCTTAATTTATGCTTTGCAAATACTCAACACTACTGCTGCAAGCTGCAGCTTTAACCAGTGCTGTTAGCTACCTTAATTACTTCCAAAAAGTATTTCTAAAAACCTTTTGCAGGAAGATAAGCCACTGTTTCATTGGAAGAATGTTCTACATGGCTTCCAACATTTCAGTAGGCAAATGTGAACAGGTTACCAATTTAGGAAACTACTGAAACTACCGCCGCCTCCTTTTTTCAAAGGCTACAGACACAAATGTAACCAAATGTAATTGTTTTATAAAATGGGGAAGCTTTCTAGAAGTTCAGATACAAAGCAAAGTATAGCCTCCATTTTTATCTGAAACTTTTGCTATCCAGAAAAGCATGGCAATATCTGTATGACCATGAACTCCTATTCAACTGCTAACAAGTTTAGACTTCGAAAGATGCTCAGATAACAACCGCGTAACAATGAACTCCTATCTCTTACCCTATGTAAGTATACTGTCAAGAAAAAAAGAACACAGAAAAATTACTGCAGCAATTTTGAAAGGCCTCTTACCGTCCCTCAAAACTTACCGAAAAATATTTAACACCAACAGGATCCTGAAGAAGACGCTCAAATGAAACAGCCCAGCTTGCAACTCTTCTTTCTCGAAGTCGTCGGCAGCTCTGTACACTGGGAAGACTAGCATTGCTACTGAGGCTGTTTTCACTGATGCAGTCTTTTAAATCAGTACTATTCAGCTCTGTTGAAAAAAATGAACCAATTTGTCAGTAAAATATTATTCACTTTTACTCTTCAGCATTGTTTACTTGATTTACCACACTCCTGCTCAAGCTGAAAGTAGTGCAATAGTAGAAAGCATCCCTCCCCATTTTTATTAGGAACACCTGCATAGATAAAGCAACCCCAACTATCTCCCAATTTTCTTCTGTTCCACTGCCAGAAGCAAAAAGGGCAGCACAGAAGGAAATCTCTTTTCTGGCTTCAAAAAATAAATATTTTGGACAAAATTTTGACTTCACATTCCTCAACTCATGGACTGCAATCCTTCATAAGATTATCCAAGGAAAGCAGACCTTTAAGAACCCACTGTTCACCAGAAAGAGGGGAAAAAAAACCTATTAGGTGATGGGACATAGTAAAACCTCATACATTCTTAAATCAGCAGACAGGGAGTATGTGAAGTTTTTAACAGGAATCTTTCATTTCCATGAAATACTGAAAATTTAGGAAAGAAGTCAAATGAGGAAAAGAACACCAAGGAAAATAAGCTAGTAATGGATGCCTTCTTCATCCATGGAAAGTAGAGGTATCAAACCATAGGTCCTAAATTTATCAGGGTTTCTGACAAAAACATGGATTTTTGTCTCCCTTCCAGACTCAAGCCAACGCAGTGCAATAATCTGGGGACCCCAAGTTGAGAAATGATCAGGTTCTTTAGATCTCAGAAAAACAGACATTTTTTTGTATTCTGAAAGACAAATTCACAATTGTCTCCGTAGAGAATTCAGGAAAATGCAACCTTGTGTAGCAGCGCGAGTGTAATAATTTCAAGTATTGACCCTGATCATCTTTGTCACATATCAGTAAACAAAGCATGAACAATAAATTCTTAAGGAAGTGACCACTTGGTCACAGAAGTGTAAAGGTGAAAGAAATGGCTGCTCTAAGTAAAAGAGGGAACTGTATACAACAGGGTCCTACTCACAAGCCTGTAATTTATTTGTGGTATGCCCTTTTACAAATCACCACTCTTTTCATCTCTCTGTAAAATTGGTATAGTAGTACTCACAGACACCTACTTCACAGAGGTGATCTGAGGTTTAATTAGTTGTGAAGACACAACTGAATAAAGCCCTGAGCTACCTCGTCTGATCTCATAACGATCCTGCTTTGAGCAAGAGGTTGCACTACAGAGATGCTACACTGAATGATTCTGTGATGAAGAGATTTAAAAAAGCAGACATTCACGTCTTTGAAAAATTAGCAATAATAGACGTGAGAAAATAATATCCTCAAATAAAATAGGTATCTTTAATAATTCTATGCCAAATGGAAAAGGAAATGTACAGTTCATTATAATATGCAAACTCATTGAGAAAACTGAATTCCCCCTGTACTCTGCACTGGTGAGGCTGCACCTCAAATACTGTGTCCAGTTTTGGGCCCCTCAATACAAGAAAGACATCGAGGTGCTGGAGCATCTCCAGAGAAGGGCAATGAAGCTGGTGAAGGATCTGGGAAGCAAGTCTTATGAGGAGCAGCTGAGGGAACTGGGGTTGTTTAGTCTGGAGAAGAGGAGGCTGAGGGGAGACCTTATTGCTCTCTACAACTACCTGAAAGGAGGTTGTAGTGAGGTGGGTGTTGGTCTCTTCTCCCAGGTAGTTAGCGACAGGATGAGAGGAAATGGGCTCAAGCTGCGCCAGGGGAGATTTAGATTGGATATTAGGAAAAATTTCTTCACGGAAAGGGTAGTCAAATCATTGGAACAGTCTGCCCAGAGAGGTGGTGGAGTCACCATCCTTGGAAGTGTTCAAAGAACAGGTAGATGTGGCACTTGGGGACATGGTTTAGTGGGCATGGTGGTGTTGGGTTGATGGTTGGACTGATGATCTTAGAGGACCTTTCCAATCTTAATGATTCCCAGTTTTACTTTCATTAAAAAATAATCCAGCCACCAAGCCAGGAAACACGAAATTGCTACTCTACCCTTAATTGGTTTAGTGGTGGACTTGGTAATGTTAGGTTAATGGCTGGACTGGATGATCTTAAAGGTCTTTTCCAACCTAAACGATTCTGTGATTCTATGAATCAGTAAGAAAGGGCCTATTCTTCAGACAGACATTTTTATTCTTGTTTTTTTCCCCTCAGTTAATCACCTAACTAAAGCAAGGAGTAATTTCAACAAAATTACTACTTTATAAGATCTCCCAAGTTGTCCTTTTCTGCTATATATATGTCCTGGTTTCAGCTGGGATAGAGTTAATTTT